ATTGGCTAGTATTTTGGTGAGAATATTTGCATCCGTGTTCATCAAGGATATTGGTCTGTAATTCTCCTTTTTGATGGGGTCTTTGTCTGGTTTTGGGATCAAGGTAATGGTGGCCTCATAAAATGAGTGTGGAAGTTTTCCTTCCGTTTCTATTTTTGGAACAGTTTCAGAAGGATAGGTATTAATTCTTCTTGAAATGTTTGGTAGAATTCCCCTGGGAAGCCATCTGGCCCTGGGCTTTTGTTGGGAGATTTTTGATGACTGCTTCAATTTCCTTAGTGGTTATAGGTCTGTTCAGGTTTTCTATTTCTTCCTGGTTCAGTTTTGGTAGTTGATACATCTCTAGGAATGCCTCCATTTCTTCCAGGTTATCTAATTTGCTGGCATAGAGTTGCTCATAATATGTTCTTATAATTGTTTGTATTTCTTTGGTGTTGGTTGCGATCTCTCCTCTTTCATTCATGATTTTGTTGATTTGGGTCATTTCTCTTTTCTTTTTGATAAGTCTGGCCAGGGGTTTATCAATCTTGTTAATTCTTTCAAAGAACCAGCTCCTGGTTTCATTGATCTGTTCTACTGTTCTTTTGGTTTCTATTTCATTGATTGCTGCTCTGATCTTTATTATTTCTCTTCTCCTGCTGGGTTTAGGCTTTATTTGCTGTTCTTTCTCCAGCTCCTTTAGGTGTAGGGTTAGGTTGTGTACTTGAGATCTTTCTTGTTTCTTGAGAAAGGCTTGTATTGCTATATACTTTCCTCTTAGGACTGCCTTGGGACTGCATCCCAAAGATTTTGAACAGTTGTGTTTTCATTTTCATTGGTTTCCATGAATTTTTTTAATTCTTTAATTTCCTGGTTGACCCATTCATTTTTTAGTAGGATGCTCTTTAGCCTCCATGTATTTCAGTTCTTTCTGACTTTCCTCTTATGATTGAGTTCTAGTTTCAAAGCACTGTGGTCTGAAAATAGGCAGGGAATGATCCAAATCTTTTGGTACCGGTTGAGACCTGATCTATGACCTAGGTAGGATGTGATTGATTCTGGAGAATGTTCCATAGGCACTAGAGAAGAATGTGTATTCATTCCGTTGCTTTGGGATGGAATGTTCTGAATATGTCTGTGAAGGCCTTTTGGTCCAGTGTGTCATTTAAAGTCTTTATTTCCTTGTTGATCTTTTGCTTAGACGATCTGTCCATTTCAGTGAGGGGGGTGTTAAAGTCCCCCACTATTATTGTATTGTTGTCGATGTATTTCTTTGCTTTTGTTATTAGTTGCCTTATATAATTGGCTGCTCCCATGTTAGGGGCATAGATATTTACAATTGTTAGATCTTCTTGTTGGATAGACCCTTTAAGTGGGATATAGTGTCCTTCCTCATCTCTTATTACAGTCTTTGGTTTAAAATCTAATTTGTCTGATATAAGGATTGCCACCCCAGCTTTCTTTTGGTGTCCATTAGCATGGTAAATGGTTTTCCACCCCTCACTTTCAATCTGGGGGTGTCTTTGGGTCTAAAATGAGTCTCTTGCAGACAGCATATCGATGGGTCTTGTTTTTTAATCCAATCTGATAGCCTGTGTCTTTTGATTGGGGCATTTAGCCCATTTACATTCAGGGTAACTATTGAAAGATATGAATGTAGTGCCATTGTATTGCCTGTAAGGTGACTGTTACTGTATATTGTCTGTGTTCCTTTCTGGTCTATGTTGCTTTTAGGCTCTCTTTGCTTAGAGGACCCCTTTCAATATGTCTTGTAGGGCTGGTTTCATGTTTGCAAATTCCTTTAGTTTTTGTTTGTCCTGGAAGCTTTTTATCCCTCCTTCTATTTTCAATGACAGCCTAGCTGGATATAGTATTCTTGGCTGCATATTTTTCTCATTTAGTGCTCTGAATATATCATGCCAGTCCTTTCTGGCCTGCCAGGTCTCTGTGGATAGGTCTGTTGCCAATCTAATGTTTCTACCATTGTAGGTTACGTATCTCTTCTCCCGAGCTGCTTTCAGGATTTTCTGTTTGTCTCTGAGACTCGTAAGTTTTACTATTAGGTGTCGGGGTGTTGACCTATTTTTATTGATTTTGAGAGGGGTTCTCTGTGCTTCCTGGATTTTGATGCCTCTTTCCTTCCCCAAATTAGGGAAGTTCTCTGCTATAATTTGCTCCAATATACCTTCTGCCCCTCTCTCTCTTTCTTCTTCTGGGATCCCAATTATTCTAATGTTGTTTCGTCTTATGGTATCGCTTATCTCTCGAATTCTGCCCTCGTGATCCAGTAGTTGTTTCTCTCTCTTTTTCTCAGCTTCTTTATTTTCCATCATTTGGTCTTCTATGTCACTGATTCTCTCTTCTGCCTCATTTATCCTAGCAGTTAGAGCCCCCATTTTTTATTGCACCTCATTAATAGCCTTTTTGATTTCGACTTGGTTAGGTTATAGTTCTTTTATTTCTCCAGAAAGCGTTTCTCTAATAACTTCCATGCTTTTTTCAAGCGCAGCTAATATCTTTAAAGTGATGATTCTGAACTCTAGATCCGACATCGTACTAATGTCCGTATTGAGTAGCTCCCACGCTGCTCCTCCCCAGGGAGGAAGGAGAGTCTCCCTGGATCTGTCACTTATTGGGTCCCTGCTGGAAGAGCAGTGGCCTGACTGTGCCGCAGATCACGGTTTATGGCAACCCCGAGCTGAGAGCCCGTGCCTCGGCTCTGTCTCTGCAGCCGGCCTCCCTGCTCCGGTACCTGGGAGCTCTGCCGCACTCAGGCACCCCCGGTCTTTCTGTGACCCTGAGGGTCCTGAGACCACACTGTCCCACGAGGGTTCCACCCCCTGCTTAGCCACTGGCGCAACGTCCCTCAGTGGAGCAGACTTCTAAAAGTTCCGATTTTGTGCTCCACTGCTCTATCACTTGCCAGAAGCGGCCGTCGGAGGCCCCCTCCCCCGCCGTCTATCTTTAGATTCACTTCTCCGCACATCCTACCCTCCAGAAAGTGGTCGCTTTTCTGTTCAGAGTGTTGTTGCTATTCTTTTCTTCGATCTCCTCTTGAGTTTGTAGGTGTTCAGAATGGTTTGATCCCTATCCAGCTGAATTCCTGAGACCAGACAAAATCCAGGTCTCCTACTCCTCTGCCATCTTGCTCTGCCCCCCCTTATACATTTTTTTTTAAAGATTTATTTATTTGTTAGAAAGAGAGAGAGAAAGAGCCTGGGGGTGGGGGAGGGGAGAAGTAGAGGGAAAGGGAGAGAGAGTCTTAAGCAGACTCCCCACTGAGCACAGAGCTTGACATGGGGCTCCATCTCATGACCCTGAGATCATGACCTGAGCTGAAACCAAGATTTAGACGCTTAACCAACTGCACCACCCAGGCGCTCCCAACTTTATACATTTTATGCATCTTCTGCGTATGTCGCAATTGCCAAGTTTACAGATTATCTTCACTGTTTATATTTTGGTTTGGATGCTTTTAGATGACCTGAAATAAGGACAGCAAATAGGTGCAGTCTCTCCCCTATCCTAATTGATTAGTAGTGACTGTGTGAAACTTTAATTCTCAGCCCTGGCCATACGTTAATATTATCCAGAGAGCTTCCTATAATTAATGCCAATCTTACCCCAGGTCAATTTCAGAATCTCTAGGGGCTGGGCTTAGGCATATTTAAAATCTTCCCATGTGATTTGAATATACCGCTGGGATTAAGGATCACTGATCTGGAACAGTGTCTGTCAAACTTCAGCATGGATCCAGATCACCAATCTGTTAAAAACACAGATTGCCAGCTCCCACCACTGGACGTTCTGATTCACTAGGTCTTAGGTGGGGCCCAACTTTCTAACAAGCTTCTAAGTGAGGTTGATGCTTCATGTGTTGTCATCATGGAGTCATGATCACGTGGCATCTGCACCATGGGAACCACTGATGTAAAGCATGTTAAGAAGGAACTTGAGGGGGCACCTGGGTGGCTCAGTCATTGAGCATCTCCCTTCGGCTCAGGTCATGATCCCAGGGTGCTGGGATTGAGCCCCACATCAGGCTCTCTGCTCAGTGAGGAGCCTGCTTCTCCCTCTCCTACTCCCCCTGCTTGTGTTCCCTCTCTAGCTGTGTCTCTCTCTGTCAAATAAATAAATAAAATCTTAAAAAAAAAAAAAGGAACTTGAAGCTGGAGAGCCTAGGTGGCTCAGTTGGTTGAGCATCTGATTCAGGATTTCGGCTCAAGTCATGATCTCATGGATTGTGAGATCACGTCAAGCCCACCCTCTCCCATGGGCTCTGCACTCAGTAAGGAGTCTGCTTGGGATTCTCTCTCTCTCTCTCTCCCTCTGCCTCTCCCCCCACTCAAGTAAGCTCGCGCTCTCTCAAATAAATAAATAAATCTAAAAAAAAAAAAAAAAAAAGGAACTTGAACCTGAATTAAGATTTAGTGGAAAACAGGGGCATGATTGATTAGTTATGCCTGGGCAGCCATGGTCACAGAAAGGAGGAATTGTATTTGTTACTCCCACTCTTGAAAAGCAGTAAACCACCCTCGGTCACAGTGTAGAAATGGGTTACTCCAAGAATGTTTCCCTAGTTACAGTTTGTCCTACCCACATCAGGACAATCCATTCCCTGATGTACATTCTGCATCAGCAGGCAGCCCTGCCCTGTCCAGCTGGGACTGGAAGCTGGTCTGCTGTCTAGCCCACTGCCATTCCAACTCCTGCACACCACCATGGCAGTCGACCTCTCCTGGGGGCCTCGAATCTCTGTCCACTATCTCTATCTATTGTTGGAGAAAGGTAGCTTGTTTCCCCATAACTGTGAATTATTTTACCCAATTTGCTGGCTGGGATCCCAGAACAGGTCAGTCTTGATAGCATGTCGTAGACAAAGGCTGCACAACAGCATGAGGGCGGGGAGAGAGGTGCTGCGGAGTGTGGATGGGGGCTAAAACCTAACCCTGCCTCTGAACTTAGCCATAGATCTCTAAGGTTTTTGTTTGTTTTCTTGTTTGTTTTCTCTCCATTCTGAGGGGCTCTAATAGATCATAAAAGCAGTCCACAAAGAGAATTCAACAGTGGCCATGCAGAGACTTCAAGCAACTCTTCTGCTGTCACTGAGAAAAATCGGTGAGTCTTATCCATAATGTTCCCAGTCTTAAACTCGGGTGCTCTGTTCCAATGGACAGTGAAACAGAAGTATTCCTAACAGTGTTTTATATTGGTAAGTTGGAGAGAGTAGAGGCAAAAAGTGTTTTTTATCAGATTCTCCCAGGTCAGAGGTCATTATTCTGTGGGCAAAAGCCTTTATTCTGTAGGGCAACCTGAACACAACCCTGCTTTTTGGGTTCTCTTCATGGTAAAACAGGTACTTGGTCTCATTAAGGTAAAGCAGTTTTTCTCAGCTGGGGATAGTTTTGCTCCTCTTCCCTCTGGGACATTTGGCAATGTCTGGAGATATTTTGGTTGTCACACCTTTAGGGGAGGAGTTGTGCTAATGTCATCTAGTGGGTAGAGGTCAGGGATACTGCTAAACATCCTACCATGCACAGCACAGCCCCCTCACAACCAAGAATTGTCCAGCCCAAAATGTTCCAAGGTAGAAAAACCTTGTGTTTAAGATAAAGCAAAAAGGGAGTATCATTTCCTGTTTACCCACACTTTCTAGTTAAATATAACTCAAAATAAGTAGAGCATTAAGGCCCAGGGCCACCATGCAGCATCTTCAATGTACACAGGAGCTGCTCAGGTCTGCAGAGGACAATGCCCCTGGCTAAATGTAGGCTCAGGTCACCTTAAGTCAGGTCAGGCCAGCCCATGACATCAAGCACTGGAGACTCAAGGAACTCCTAGGCTTCCAATTCTTCAGGGGCATCTCCATAACCTACCTTCTCCCAGAAGAGGTTTTCAGGCCCTGTCATACATGTCACCAAGAAGATGACACAACTACAGGAAGGAGTGGACCATGGCAAAGGGATGGTCTAACTAGAATGAAGCTTACTTTTCATATTCTCCTCTAAATCAGTTGTAGGAACTTTTTCATTAAAAGTTTACTCCGGGATTTGGAGAAAGAAGCAGATCATTAGAAGCTTCTTTGCATCTTTTCCCTTGGAAAAAGAAGTGGTTTTGATTTGTAATTTTTAAAAATATTTCTTAATTTTTTGAGATTTCTTATTAATGTTTTTGAGACTTGACAAATTACATTATCAGTACTTCTCTAGTGGTCTCAAATTGTTGTTGGGCTGCTTATAAAGTACACTACTTTCCCAACAGAACAGCTCATCCAAGGGTACTTGAGGAAATATTATAGGCCTATCACCTCATACTAGAATGACAAAGTTTAGAATTTCTGATGCAGCAGGAAGACCCTTGAACTTGGCAGGTGGAAGACTTGGGTTCTGGTGCTAGTGCCGACATTTTCCAGCTGTTTGACCTTGGATAAGTCAGTGAACCAGTTTGGGAAATGGCTCTGGCTCCAGCCCAAGCCTCTCTCCCCTCAACCTCAGCTGGTGGCTGACTTTACACAGTATCAGGGCAGTGCTGTGAGCAACTTCAACTTCACTTCCCTGCATCTCAGAATCTCTTTCTCTCCAGCTGTTCTTTCTTCCTTTGCTCTCGTCTCAAAAGACTACAGGTCTTTTCCTTGCACAGGCTAACTAATGCCTTCATTCGAGGTCCTATCCTCCAGGCCCTATCCCCATCACTTAGCCCACACTTGCTTTCACAGCTTTCTCTCTCTGCTGTCTCTTTCCCTTTTGCTTATACCTTTCCCCTTTCTACAAAATAGGCTACTCTTGGCCCTAGCTTCCCTCTTACTTTTACTATCAGACTATCTCAGACTGACATCCGGGTCAGTTGCCTCATTCCCTCACCTACCCCTCCCTCCTTGATCCTGAAATCTGATCTGTGCCCTCCCCGTGTCTCTACAACTGCTCTTGGGAAGCTCAGCTCCCAGTTGCTAGAACCTCATCTTCATCAGACTCTGCAGCATCTGTTCCATGGGCCGTGCTGGCCTCAGGTTGCCCTCTTCCTTGGTGTTTGCGGACCTGCAGGCTTCAGGCTCTTCCTCTAAGATATCCTTGGTCCTGTCTTCTCTGGCTCCATCCTCCTCATCCACCCACCATCGAAATGAGGTAGTTCTCCAGGTCTTTGACTTTCTTCTCTACTCCTCACCTGGGTGATATCCTCTCTCCCTGGTGTGTTCTGATACCAACTCTCAGCTCAGTGAGCATGGTTCCCAGGTCTGTGTTCTGAACCCTTCACTCCCACACCTAACCTTCCTGGCCATGTATTTCTGATTTACACACCAGGGCCTCAGCAGAAAAGTCCCCAGCAAAGTAACTTTTGTGCCTGACCCTCCTACTGTGGTGAGTTGTACAAACATTCTCTGGTGACCTAGCCTTGAAACCTGGCAGTCAGTTTTTATCTCCGGCAGTCATTTTTGATCCCTACCTCTCACATAACCCCACCTCCAGTCATTTTTTTAGCGTCCTTCCCTGGTCCAGGCCTGTCATTATCTCCTTCTCTCTCTCCTGTTTCTCTTCTTTATAGACCAGCTTTTATTTCTGACACCTGATCAATTGTCCTAAAGCATATTCTGACTTTTCAAAGAACTTTAATGGCTTCCCATTTTAGACCAAAAGAGGTTCAGACACCTCAGTGTGCCATATCAAGCCTCTTTCTGTCTTGCTGGACTTTGTCTTCCAGATCACCTCCAGCATGTCCCTAAATGCACCCTGTATGGTCAGACTTACTGTTTTACCAACACATCTACCTCTGTTCTCTCTGCTCATGCCTTTCTGTTCAGCTCTTAGCTATCTCATCAAGATACATTGACGTATCCCTTTACTCCATGAAGACCTCAATTCTCTTCAATGCTCCTTGAACCTTTGTAGTCCGTGTTAACAGAACTACTAAAAATCCTGGTTCACGACGAGATAATGAACTTACATCAGAATGTAAATCAACCCACTGCTTTCTGCATCAAGAAAGTTTGCTGTGAAAAAAATATCAGCTCAGCTGAACAATGTACTTGGTGATGAATTGATTTACATTCTGGCACAAGCTCCTTATGACATTGTGAGCAGTAACAGCTCACAGACAGTGTCCTGGTGATAAACAAATCACACTTTGGTTTATCATTCTCTGCAGTTTTTCATGTATTGCCTGGTGTTGTGGTTGACTGTGTGCGAGCAGGTCAGCTTCTCAAAGGTGAGGGCTGAGTCTTACTTCTCCCTGTTTCCAGTATGTGCAATAGGTACTCCATAAGTTTATTGAGCTGACTTCCAACGCGCCTCGTAAGGCTCAGATTTTTATGAAAGAAATGTTCTTCCTGCTCAGTCTTTGGGTGGTGACAGCAACAATAGGATCGAGAATAATTCATCGGATAGGACATGCCTGCCCCAGGGAGCTAGGGGTCTCATTTTGCCCTCTGTACTTGATGATCACCTCAGTGCCCTGTGGATCAACCCAGGGGTTGACAGGAAGGAAACCAAGGAGGGGGGGAATGCCAGGGTAAGAGATGGCAGACTAAGAAGAAAGCTAAGTCATGCCAATGATGATGCTCTTAGCAGTAATTAACAGACCCTTCAACTAATATGTTTATGAATCCCTCAGGATAGAGGTCTGGACACAGAAATTCCAGTGCTGGTTCATTTGCTCAGAGATGTCAAAAAGGACGTGGGTCCTCTTCATCTCTCTGCCACTTTCCGTGCATCAGCAGTGCCCCCACTTGCGGTCACACGGTGGCTAACGCAGCACCAAGCATCATTTCCTCACATGGCAATGTCCAAAGCAGGCAGGAAGAGATGGATGGGAAGGGGGCTCTCCTCGGGACTCTCTCTGTTTCCCAGAAGTCCCTAGGACACCCCTTGCATCTCACTGGCCAGTAATTGCCAATTTGCAGAGGTGGCTCTGCCTGGGAGCAACAGAGAAAGCTGGGAATGCAAGCATGGGCATTTGCAGCTTTGCAGGAGAGAGTAGGCAAAGAAATAAGGGGTTGGAGAACCAACCAACACAATGTGCCAGAAGAGTCCTGAAGGGGTAGTGATGGGAGCAGATAGGTACCAGAGAAAGATAAAGGGAAGGTAAAATCATAGGGAAGAGTTCATAAGGAAGACCCAAACATGACAAGATATATTGCTGAGAATAAGAACAACATAATCATTCAGTTTCACTCAACATTTGTTGTGAGTCCAGGTCTTTTCGCACAATGATCTCACATGATTCTCATTCTAGCCTTTTTGGGTGGTTACTGACTCCATGTTACTGATAAGTAAACTAAATCAGGGAAGGCTAAGATAAGTAGGTCCCACATGCTGGTCTAGAGACAAGTGCTGAGTTGGACATATCAGATTTACCTACTCCTGCCCCTAATCAGCTAATCGGGAGGGTCACCCAGTGTCACACAGAAAATAAATGGCAGGTCTGGGTTTGAAATCAGCACTTCTCTCTCCAACAATAAAAACAACTAACATTTGACACTTATTAACAAATTCCTGGGCACTGTACTAAGTGTTCTACATGTGTTACCTTATTTAATCCTTACATAACTACCTGATGAAAGAGGTACACATTGTATAATTTCTGACGTTAAGATATTACAAGTAATTCGCTTTCTGGTGGTGGAGTCTGGAGAAGACGTGCAGAAATGGCACCTCCAAGCAGAAGGAAAAACAGGTCATCAGACTTGGATCTTAGGTAGCCAAAGGACAAAATGTGTGTGGTGTCTGCCACATCTTTGCATCCTTCAGTGACACTTCCATCCATGTCACCAGTCTTTCTGGCAAGGACACTATCCACCATGTGGCTGGTGGGCTGAAGGTGAAGGCTGACCCAGATGAATCCTCTCCCCATGCTGCCATGTTAGCTGCCCAGGATGTAGCCCAGAGGGGCAAGTCACTGAGCATCTCATCAAACTCCAGGTCACAGAAGGAAACAGAACCAAAACTCCCGGGCCCAGGGCCCATCAGCCCTCAGAGCCCTTGCCTGCTCAGGAGTGAAGATCAGGTGGATTGAGGATGTCACCCTCACCCCCACCCCCACCCCCACAGTACCTGCGGGAAGGGGGGTTGCCATGGTTGCTGTTTGTGGACAGGATTCCTCAAATTATTATTTTCTGTTAATAAATT